ATTATACAGTATAGTCAAGGCTCAATTGGACCAAAGTAGAATATTAATACATAAGTCATATGTTATACATTATATAATATGTTATAAGTAAAGAAGTGCAGTTTTACAGTTCAAATACATGCCTGTTCAAACTAGGCTCAGTAAATTCAAAAGGGTTTATTGAGGTCTCTAGGGAACCTGTTCTGATGAATGAATAAAACTGATTTTTATTTAGCATTATAATTGTGTGCAAATGGTGCTTCTGCACTACTGAAGGGTACTTCAAAACAATTTGTTCTAAGTATACCTGTTCAGCAGAATCTTGTTTATACTATTCATTAGCCTTTTGTGTAACCAGAAAGGGCTTATCCAGCAAGGATGAACAGTCTCTACAGTCTAGGTTTTACTACATTCTGGGAATTTTATGCAGCTGGGAGGGCAAAAGTTGTTCTCAACCACAGCTCACAAAACCTCATTGTCCCTTTTTTGCACTTACCAAATACCAGTACCTGTATTAATGCAGTGGAAATAAATGCAGTGTTTTCCACATTTAGTCTTCATTCCTATTAAACTTGAATGACCTTAGGTCTTGGTTTGCCTAAGACAGTCCCCATTTATGCCTGTTGTCCTGGCATAATTATTAATAGCACTCTCTGTCACTCTCAAAAGTGTCCCAGTTTGGATGATATGGTCTCCCTATATTTAGCAGAAGTCTGATTTCTTTTAAGGCTAGGCCTAAAAGCCAAGGGCCTGTTCTCAGACCACTAGCAGTACTCTTACAGTATGGTATGGGGGCTGAGGACAACAGTGGATTGAGACTTTTCCAAAAATTAAGGAATATTTGGCACACTACCTCTTAAATAATAACCAACATTTGGGTGCTTACCAAATGCCAACCATTGTTATACAGGCACTTGGTGTAGGCCATCTTATTCTGTCTTCACAATCACCATGTCAGATACCTACTCTTGTCATCTCCATGTTATAGACAAGGGAACTGAAGCACTGAATGGTTAAGCAAATAGTTCAAGATCAGCTAGTGACTGGAGAGCTGGGAGTTGAGCCCAAGCAGTCTGACTCTAGAGTTGCATTCTCAATCATGACACTCTGCAAGGGAAAGACATTAAGAAATGATGTGTTAGGCAAGGGTCAGTCTGTTAGGCACAGTTGAAGCATCAGTGGTTAGACTGTGAAACACACAGAGCAGGTGGCCAGAGGTAGCATCTTTTTAATGTGTGTGTTTTGCCTGCTGGCAGAAGCAGGCAGGCAGAGGCAGGAGAGATTGCCAAAGTGGGGATTACCCCTAACCTAACCTACCCCTAACCACAGCCTAACCTAACCTTGCTGAAATTGGTAGTTCCAAAACTACCTTTAGCAGTAATGGTTGAGGAAAGTGAGTCAAGGAACTTGCCAGGGGCCACCACATCAGCGAATGAAGCCCAGATTCATCCTACTTCCTCAGACCTCAAGTCCTCTGACTGCGAATCTAGTGCTTTGCGAAGGGTTTTCTTCACAATGTAAGGACAAGATGGGTGTTAAGCATGTAGTAAATTGAGGTTAGGGACCTGTGGAGTGGCTTGTGCTCTGTCTTAATCATGAACAAGTGTCTAGTCTCCCTATGAGATATACTGCAGGAATATGCTGCCAATGTCAGAGCCTCTTGCAACAATTTATCTTTCTCCATAGTTGAAACATCTTGCCACATTGTATGCCAAATGAGGATACTATTTCCAGTTTAGCAGTAAAGCTCCTGCCTTGAAGTGTTCAGCTTCCTGTTGCTAGATCTGAAAGAACACATGGAACAATCCATTTTCATGCCATCTGATTAGAGTGCAGATTTTAGGGTGTCAGTTGGCCAGCCTGTACTGTGTGCTCTTCCTTCCTCTGCCTATCCATGAAGTCCCATTTCCTCCTTATATTGCCAACCTGTCAGGATCTCATCTTTCAGTCAACTCCTACAGCTCCATTGAATCTTTCCCTTCTGTCTGTAAATGTGGATTTCTCTGTTTTCCTAAGAAATCATTCTTGGGCTCTTACATCTCCCTGCCCCCAGGCTGCTATACTGATTCCTTCCTTTCACAATCAAATTTCTTCAAAGAAGAAGCTACACTTCACAATGTGGCTTTAGTCCTTAACCCCTTGCAATCTGACTCCCTCCCAACCTCCCTCCCGTTTTTATCCTCATAGAGAACCAGTGTGCTCCTAATGGCAAAAGGGGTCTTTGACCCTTTTGCAATACATGGGATGGTTACTATATCTCCCTTCTTGTAACCCTCCTCTCATCCCTCGATTTCTGTGAAACTATGCTGCATCTGTTCCCATCCAACTGTTCGTTTTTTGTCTTCTTTCTGGCATCTTTTCCTCTCCCTAACCCCCACAACAGGCATTTCCCAAAATTATACTCATCCCAGCTCAAAGGTTCTCATCATGGTGTGGGGCAGGTTTTAAAAAGTGACAAGATGTAATTTATGTATTTTTAGGAGCTCACTCTGGTGGCTGCAAAAAGAATGGATTGTAGGTCAACAAGAGTGGAAGAAGGAACCAATTAGATATTGCAGAAAGTCCAGGTGAGAAATCACAGTGCCAGGACTGGTGTGGCAGCAGTGCAGAGGAAGAGAAGTGGGTGCATTTAAGATGTGTCCTAGAGGTGGAACTGATGGAAATTGCTGCTGGATTAGATTTGGGGATAGGGAAAAGGAGGGAACACAAAAATTTCCCTGGTTCCTGACTTAGGCAACTGGATAGATGTTGGTATCTTTACTGAGCTATGAAAGATAGGGAAGGGGTGGAAAAGACTTGGATGGCAAATGGGGAGTTTGGTTTGAAAATGCTAAGATAGATATGACTATGAGATATTTCAGTAGAGAAAGCCATGTTCCCCTGACTATTTCAGCCTCTCTGATGACTTTAGCTACCTCTTCGTTATGTGTGTGTGATGGGGCAGGGATGTACAGGTGCTTATCCCATTGAGCCATGAAACCCAACACTTTTAAAATCATACTCATGTCCACTCAGTCCTACACTATGAGTTCTTCCTCCTCATTTCTCTATTCCTTATATTGATATTCCTGGCCTTCTCTTCACCCAGACTTTTAAGAGTTTTCAGTGAATCTCAAACACCTCCCTCTCCCACCAATATTCAAGTAGTAAGGAAGTCTTATTGAACCTACCCTGTGCATTGGTTTTCCCTCTTTGTTCACGTTGCCCCTGCTGTAGTTTAAATCATCATTACTTCTTACCTGGAACAGTGCAGCATCTCACTGCCTCTAGTCTTTAAATAGCTCATCTTTCCTACACACCACTGCTGTAGAAATCTTGTTTTAAAGAAAGATTTCTGTTTAAATGCATACCATTTCCCACAGGATGAAGTCTATTCTCTTTAGCCTGGCATTCAAAACTCTTCATGGTCCAGCCCTCTCAGCTAAATTAGACTGGAAATATTCTCTTTTTTGTTTTTGCTTATGCTGTCGATTCTAGCAGCATGCCCTCCCCTCACTCCCATCTTCACCAAGTAAATCCTGTCTCTCTCAAGTGCCACTGAATAAGAATCCTGGTTGCCATTTATTAAGTATCAATAATTGAATACTTAATGCTTATTTATTAAGTAATCTAAGCATCCTACATTGTTATCTGACTCTGCATTGCCTATGGTTTCTTGTATGTTTGTCTCATTCGTACAAGAATGTGAATTTCCTGAGAGCAGAGATCAGATTGTAATTCATCTTGAAAACTGAATCTACAGCTAAACTGTACACTTAGTTGATGTTAGATAAATGTTTGATGAATGGCTGATTGATTGCAGAACTTTGAACTAGTTGGTATGGGAAGATATAAAAGAAACTTACGAGCTTACATTCTAGTTAAAGAACGCATCAGAGAAAAAATATTCCAGAATACTAAGTACTGACAGATACTAAATGGAGGGTTGAGCAAAGTTAGGTTTAACTCAAAATCATCCTGGAGGAATCAAGTTTATATAGTAAAGGGAATATTTAAAGGCTTCAGTTTCAGGCAGACCTGGTTTTGAATTCCTGCATTTCTGCTTGCTAAGTGTGTGACTTTGAACAGTTACTTGCTTTCTAAACTGCATCTGTAAAAGGGGTATATTACAAGCTCCTTCATAGGACTGTTGCAAGGATGAAATGAGGTAATATGTCCAAGTGTATTTCACAATACTCAGTAAATGTTTAAACAGGAAAAAAACAAGCTAGAGTTTTAAAGAAGATTAGGATATTGGATTATCTAGGGGTGTTAGTAGGTCAGTTAAGGTTGATGTGAGCTGGAGGCTTGGGCATTGGCCAGCTTGCATCAGATCATAGGGACCCCCAGGAACCTGGAAATATTGATAGTAATTCTAAAACTGCTTCAGGATATTTTTTATTGTGGATCCTCACAGTAAACCTAAAATATCTCCCTAACCTTTGTATAGTTAGAGGCAAAAGGAGGGAGGAAAGAGGAGCTTCCATTACCAAACATCACTGAAAATACCTGATTATACACTTACTTCCCCTGAATTTTCAAGCATTTTCACCAAGCAAGTTCCAGAGTACCAGCCAGCGTCTTGGGAGAGTACTATCAGCTTTTCCAGTGTAAATTCTTGAGAATATTAACTCTTACGTGGACATGGATAGTTAATGTTGAAAAGCAATGAAGTAAAGTTGCGGTACAGAATATACCGCGTAAACTTTTCAAACCATTTGTACCGTTAATTAGTCCCCAACCAAGAAAAGCCTGCTTGATGTAGCTGGGTGGTGCTAGCCCCTTAGTGGACCCATCGTGTCTGTCTTTAAACATTTCTATAGGTTGTAGATTGAAACAATTCGTAAAGAGTTGGGGTTGCTTTTTTTCCCCCTTTTTCAGCGCTAAAACTCAAATTCGCGGCTCTTTTAGTAATCAGCCCCGGTTCTTCCGCTACCGAAACCCCTCGAAACTACATCTACCAGCATGCTCTGAAGCTGGTCTGACCTCATCTCAAATGGCCCCGTAGGGCAACAAGGATGGTTCGTTTTGACCGTGCTTATTTGTGCCATAAACTATCTATCCTAATTGGCAGCTATTTGGGTTCTTCTGTCGGCCGAACTCCCGTTTTTGAACTGTGGTCACTAAATAAAGGGGTTCTGACCTGGGAAAGCCCATATATTCCTCTCATTGGATGGGGAGCGGGGACAGTGTCTCCGGCGATCTCGAGAATAGGAGGGAATGTTGACCAGGGAGCACCGCTGCGGCCGATCAAAGGAGCAGGAACCGGAGCCCGGGCTGAGTCCGAAAAAAGCCGGATCCGGACGGTGGCTCCGGAACGGCTGGAAGTAGAAGATGGAGGAGGCGGAGGAACCGGCGGACAGTGGGCAGTCGCTGCCACCGGTTTACATCTACAGTCCCGAATATGTCAGCATGTGCGACTCCCTGGCCAAAGTCCCCAAACGGGTAAGAGAGGTTGAAATGAAAGACCGTGGGCTTTTGGTGTGGGGGTGGGGGACTGTGGACGGGAAGGCACTAGAAAGCCAAGAGAGTACTAGGCTGAGGGAAATCTTTAGCAGAAATTTGGGCCGCTGTACCAGGTGATGGAGGAAGTGTTCCCTTATAGTTTTTGAGAGCGCAGTATTTATCAGCCAGGCGTCCAAGGGACAGGTGGGGATGGCGGTGCGGGGGAGGGGAAGGCGTCTCTACAGCCAGGGATGCCTGAAGTGGTGGAGAAGAAGCTGCAGGAGGAAAGTGTTCCATCACCTCAGTAAGGCCGGGTACCTTCTCCTTAGCGGTTTAGATACTTTGTATCCATATTGTTTAAGTGCATTGTTAACTGTTAAGTGAAAAGAAGGGAGGGAAGCTAAAAGTTAGCTCCTTTGTTCAGAATGATGAAGTCTACGGGATTTCTCTGAATTAAACAATAAAGAGACTATTTTCTGCCTTTTTTTTTCTTTGCTGATGTTTTTAGGCCAGTATGGTACATTCTTTGATTGAAGCATATGCACTGCATAAGCAAATGAGGTAAGTTGTCTTTTGTGAACAGAGCCCTGAACGGAAGTGTTCATAACCTTAATATCCTGCTTCACAGTGGGATTATTTAGGAAGAGAATGGTCCTTTTTAAAAAGCCTTTTGGAATTCAGTGTTTGTAATCTGCCTGTAACTTAGTGAAAGCCCTTGAAAAATTAAGAAAACCTGAAAAAACTACGTGAAGCAGGTAAGAGCCATTAAGATTTTATTACTGGGAAGGAAAAAAGTATCCTAAGGATAGGTGCTTTGTGGAGATTTTGAGGTGAGTACTTTTGGGTACAAAACCCTATATGATAGGGGAAAAAAAGGTGGTGGTCAGCTAGTTTTCTGGTTTGGGGGTTTTTCTTTTCGTAAGCTAGACCTGAGGGTGTGTGTTCAACAAGACTTTTTAGATACCCCATCACCACCACCAGACTTTAATGAATGAGTTTACAGACAGTCAAGACCAAAGCAAACACCTGCTAGCAAGGTCAGAACTCAGCACAGAGCTAAGTGCTCCTTTAGAAAAATGAACTTGCTGTTTGTCGTTGTAAGAGTAAAGATTATAACCTTGCCACTTGTGGGATTATGTGTGATGTTTTCTGGCCAGTGGGTGATTATCTGTCTATGTATGCCAGCTAGTGTGGTATGCTTCATTTATCTCCTGGAATTTTATCATTAACAAAGTCACTTATTGAATACCTTCTTTAGGAATGTTTCTCAGCTGTTTTAACCCATGTGCTTGGTAAGCATAAAAACTTCATGCCATCCATCAAAGCTGTTTAACCTTTCAAAAATCACTTTAAGATGAGAAAGCAAAAAAGCTGTCCAATTTCCTTGTTGTTAAGTAGAGAGGTTTCCATGAATATCCGTTAAATACAAGGAAGGTTGCTTAAAAAGGCAGCTATTAAGCCTGGGAAACATGGTCCAAGAAACTGTAAAATTTTGATTTTGATGGGCAGATTTGTCACCTCTGAGGGTGTAGACATGTTTTCTTAAAGCAAGAATCCTTGCATCTTGGCTTACATATATTTAGTTTTTGAGGCTGATCCACAGGATTTTTTTTTTGGCCTGTTTGGTCATAGTAGTAGCCTGTACAGTCATATTAATTCACTAGAAACTCATGGCCATGGTCCCATTTGGCAAATGTAAAAAGCCACTACTGCCTCCCAGTGGCCTAGGTCATTGCTCTTCCAACTGGAAAGTGCATATAAATCACCTTGTTAAAATACAAATTCTGATTCAGGAGATCTGAAGTGAGGCTGAAATTCAACTTTTCTAACAAGCCCCCAGGTGGTGATGCTTCTGGCCTATAGACCACCCTCTGAGTGGCAGTGCTGAGAGCTAGAGAGCAGTAGTGGCAGCAGCGGGGTCAAGAAAAGGAAATGGGGAATGGGCCACTAGAGGTTAGAGATGGTAAGTCCTGTTGTTAGCTTAGCCCCCTGTGTTCTGTCAGTCACTCCTATTTGTGAAGAGGTGGTTAACAGCTTCTGAGTGAATCCTGGTTCCAACCTGTTTGCCCCTTCTCTTCTTCTGCTCAAAGGCATATGTGAAGGACTTTTACACTCTGGGTTCCCTATTTTTTTATCCTTTAATAATAGTGATAGTTATCCACAAAGCATTTTCATATCTGTATCATTTAATCTTCACATAAGTCTTAGAAGATCTCCCCACTTTACAGATGAGGAAACTAAACTACAGAATAGTCAACTTACCTGAGGTTATAGATCTGGTAAGTACAGAGTTATGACAGGGTCCCAGTTCCCTGACTCCAAATTCAAAATTCATGACAATATAGCTGCCCACTAAAGAAAACCATAACCAAAGGGATTATATGCCCCAATTAGGAACTGATTCAAATGAAAATATGCTGGTTTATCATGAAAGTTGTAACTCAGAGTGTCTAATACCTGATTATTTAATTTGAATATGCTCACTCTATTTTCCACCTGCCTAAAAACTCAAGGGGAAAAAATTTATCCACTCACCCCTTATTAATGGCATCATTACCTAGATATGAGGAAGTAAAGATTATATAGGTCACTAGAGGAACAGACATTTTTGTTGTGTCAGCCCACTGGAATCAGAAACTGGGAGTTGTATTTTATGCTCAGAATGCTGGCTCCTACTTCTAGCTTCTGACATTCTCTGGGTCTGACTCACTCACCTCTCTTTGTTCTCTGTTGTTATTAGGATAGTTAAGCCCAAAGTGGCCTCCATGGAGGAGATGGCCACCTTCCACACTGATGCCTATCTGCAGCATCTCCAGAAGGTCAGCCAAGAAGGAGATGATGATCATCCAGACTCCACAGAATATGGGCTAGGTAAAATCATTACCAGGCAATGATGGGAGCTAGACAACCTCCGCATGTAGATTGTAACTACTTAACCTTTTATAATTGGCATGATGGTCTTAAATACTTTTAAATTAAGAACCAATGTGTTCATCACAGTGTTATGACACTCTCTTTTTTTTAATCTCTAAATCTTCACTGTATGTATCTCACCAAGCAAACCATATGAGTTGAGCAGATGTGAATGATAGATCAGATGGGGGAAATCTTTCAATTGTTTAGGCTTTTGTAGCAGTACCCAAACCATGGCTGTATACATGCTGATTTAACTGTCCTGTGACCTTATATTTTAACTTCAGTACAGATTTCTGTTCTGGCTAAGTTTTCAACTTCATCTCTCATTAAACAGCTGCATTTTTTTTATTAAGGTATCATTGATATACACTCTTATAAAGGTTTCACATGAGCAACATTGTGGTTACAACATTCACCCATGTTATCAAGTCCCCCCACTCCCCATTGCAATCACTGTCCATCAGCATAGTAACATGCTATAGAGTCACTACTTTTCTTTTCTGTGCTGTACTGCCTTCCCTGTGACCCCCCTACATTATGTGTGCTAATCATAATGCCCTTTAATCCGTTTCTCCCTCCCTCCCCACCACCTTCCCTTTGGTAACCGCTAGTCCCTTCTTGGAATCTGTGAGTCTGCTGCTGTTTTGTTCCTTTAGTTTTGCTTTGTTGTTATACTCCAAAAATGAGTGAAATCATTTGGTACTTGTCTTTCTCTGCCTGACTTATTTCACTGAGCATTATACCCTCTAGCTCCATCCATGTTGTTGTAAATGGTAGGATTCATTTTCTTCTTATGGCTGAATAATATTCCATTGTGTATATGTACCACATCTTCTTCATCCATATACTAATGAACACTTAGGTTGCTTCCATATCTTGGCTATTGTAAATAGTGCTGCAATAAACATAGGGATGCATATGTCTTTTTGAATCTGGGATCTTGTTTTCTTTAGGTAGATTCCTAGGAGTGGGAATGTAGTAACCACAGTTTTGTTCATGGGAAACCTGAGCATAAGATTGTATATCAATGATACCTTAATAATAAAAAATTTCCTAGGAGTGGACTTCCTGGCTCAAATGGTATTGCTATTTTTAGTTTTTTGAGGAACCTCCATATTGCTTTCCAAATAGTTGAACTAATTTACATTCCCACCAACAGTATAGGAGGGTTCCCCTTTCTCTGCATCCTCACCAGCATTTGTTGTTTCTTGTCTTGAATGTTGGCCAGCTGCATTTTTTTGAAGTGGCCAGTAGGACAGTCTAGAGAAACAGCATGGTTTTGTAGAACTCTGGACTGGGTTGGAGGGATGGCAGGGGAGTCAAGAGACCTGGGTCCCAGGCCTGGCTCTGAGTGACCATAGATGAAAGACATCATCTCCTAGGCCTTTCTTTCCCCATCTGTAGAATGTGACTAGATCATCTCAAAGGTTTAGCATTTCTAGCTCTAACAAAATTTTCTCCCAAATACTGTAAATGTTTATCTCTCATTTGGAGTTGATGTTAGCACAGTAGGTTTTGGTAGGGTGTGTTGTTCTTACCTCTTAACCTATTCCTCCTGGTAGGGTTTTGGACCCATTTCCAATCTGTGGAGGGGTGTTTCCTCCCCCCCGACCACCACCACAAACCAATGCTCAGGACACCAGCTAGGTGTCCTACAATTCAACTCAACTGTGACACTACCCAGAGATGGCATCCGAATCCACAGGTAAAGGGTTCAGTCCCCTAAGACCACTCCCTATTTCAGATGCCAATCATAAGTCCAGGTTGTTACCTGTGCTTCTGAGTAATTGGTTAGAGATTGGAGGTTTTGGCGACCCCCTCCAACTCAGGATGCCAATCGCAAATCCAGGTTGTTACCTGTCCTTCTGTCCAACTGGCTGCAAAGCAGAAGTTCCCACAGCCCCCTCCTTGGGTTCAACTGATTTGCTAAAGCTGCTCACAGAATTCAGGAAACTCATTCACTCACTAGATTATGGGTTAATTATAAATGGATATAACTCAGGAACAGCCAGGGGGAAGAGATGCATAGGGGAAGATATGAAAAAAGGATGTGGAGCTTCTATGCCTTCTCCAGGCGTGCCCCTATCCCTGCATCTCTATGTGTTCACCAACTGGGAAGCTGTCTGAACATTTCCCTTTTGGTGTTATGAACATGAGTTCATTACATAGGCATGATTGATTAAATCACGGGCCCGTTGATGACTGAGCTCAATCTCCAGCTCCTCACCCCTTACAGGACGTCAGGAGTGTTGGGACTGGTTTTTCTAACCCTCTAATCACCTGGTTGGATCCACTGGCAAACTCCAACCTTAGGTGCAGCAAGTCACCTCCATTAACCTAACAAAGATAGCTTTATTGCTGTCATCACTTGGAAAATTCCAAGACTTTTAAGTGCTCTGTCCAGAAACCAAATATATATTTCTTATTATAAATCACAATGTCATACCTCCTATTTCTCCATTTCCTCTTTTAACAAACTCTTCTGATATTTGCCCAAAGGTTATGACTGCCCAGCGACCGAAGGGATATTTGACTACGCAGCTGCTGTAGGAGGGGCTACAATCACAGCGGCCCAATGCCTGATTGATGGAATGTGCAAAGTAGCGATTAACTGGTCCGGAGGGTGGCATCATGCAAAGAAGTAAGAAAATGACCTTTCTGCTTTCTGTCTCGTTTCTTGAGTCAGGTTCTCAGTTACGTAAGCTCTTATGCTTATTGAATTGGTACTTACTGAAAGACGTGTGTGTGTGTGTGTGTGTGTGTGTGTCACTTTCCTAGGCATCCTGAAGAGATACAAGAGACATAGAAAATGGCATAAAATTGTGGAAAGCACACTATTAAAAGTCAGGACATCTGGGCTCTGTGCCTAGTTTTCCTACGAACTTGGCTAACTGACTTGGACAAATTAACCTCTCTAAGCCTCAGTTTCTTCATAAGGAAAATGGGTGTGGCAAAGGATATAACTAGAAAATCTCTAAATTCTTTTTCAGCTTTCTGGAAATTCCCGTGTCTTCAGAGGACTCTAGAAACACTAACAAAACTAGAATAATTAGGGAGCAACATCAATTTTGATAACAATTGAATGCACATATGAGCTGGAGTTTTAGCAGGAGGAAGAAATTAATCATGGAAGTCTCAGAAGAGGTGAATTTTAAAGCGAGTTCTTGAAAGAAGTGGTAAGCAGGTTTTTGAATAGGTGGAGAATTGATGAGTATAGATTTAAAGCAAAATGCTGAAGAATTAACAAAGGGTTATTCTGCTGTCTCTAAGGAAAGTGGCAACCAACCGAGAGTTAGGCTTATGAAACATCTGTTCTTAGGTGCTACTTGGAGTTAGAGGAGAAGTCCTTTTGGAGTTTTGTGTTAATGTTTCAAATAGCAGTACTCTGTCTGACAAGGACTGCTGGGCCTTATTCAGCATTTTGCTTCTTGCTCAATATGTCTGTAGTACTTAATACATGTTGGACGGGAAGGATTTTTAAAACTCTGACTTTATCAATGTGCTGTGTGAATGAAATGAAGCAGCAGTGGTACGAACTACTGATGCATCATTCACGCACCAGTTGTTCATACCATTGGCCATGACCTTGATACTCTGGTGCTCTTGAGTCTAGAGAAAACCGCACTTTATTTTTCAGAATAAAACCTTGAGCACAATTTCAGCATATGCAGGTTAAGATAATAACATGGAATTCTTTTCATCAAAGCAGCAGATTTCATGACCAAAAAAAAAGAGTTTACTAGTAGACTCTACTACTGAGGAAATGGAGCAAAGAGAAACAGTGTTTAGTAAAGAGTTTTGCATGGCCTTAAAAACAAGAGAAACCACCTGCCCTTTGTTAGCCTTTGCTCTATTAAAACAATTCAAAATAAAGACATGATCCCTAGGAGAAAAAAATAATCTCTTTCCTATACACTACAGATGAAAGGGGAAAAACCAAGCTTATTCAAACTAAGGACTTCTATGCCTTGATATGCTTAGCAAGGTGAAAAGAAAAGTAGTGTGGTTTCATGGAAAATGCCTGTTCATACAAATCAGATCTAGTTTCTGCACAGAGCATTGGAGAATCTTATGTGTTTAAATTCACTGCTTAAGGCGTGGTAGGGCCTGGGTCAGTTTCTAGTGGAATACCCAGATATCTGCAACTTCTTATGACTATTTAGCTGCCAAAGGAAGCATACTCTATCTTGAGCTAACCATGGCTGCTTCTGGTCTGCCAGTAGGTGTGGGCATACCCACACACTATTACCTTACCCATTTCAGACAGCTTTCAGCTTATCTTGCCTAGAAACAGACACGCCCGTGGGGAATATAAATTACAGAGAGTCTCTAGGGATTGCCTCAATTTAGGTCCAAATTCTAGAGGGTTCTTGGCACCTGTTAAATCTCTCTACAGATGGACTACAGGCATTTAGGCTACAAACTCACATCTATCCAGCAGTTATCTAAGTTATCTATTATAACCATAATATTTGCTTAAACTTCCCCATCCCCCAAAACATGTATAGATTCATACATGTAACTTATTCAATATGCACTGATTAAGCACCTACTGTATGTCAAGCATGTTTATCATCATTAATAAGCAGAGATATAAAATTTGAAGCATTGTATATTTTATATACTACCAATTTTGAAAAAAAAGTTCATCATACTCAGGTGCTGGCAGGATTAGAGAGAAGTTGGCACACTCTTTTTGAAAACTTTGGAAATCAGTGTTAAGAGAGTGAGGGAAACATTCATGCCTATTGACCAAGTAATACTATGCTTAGCAGTCTATTATAAGGGAAAAAACCAGTCGTGTCCTCAAGAAATCCATATCTTAGAAGTAAGAAACCAAATAAGTGCATTTGAAAGCCAAGGAAGAGTGATTTTCAAAGAAAATTCTGCAAAAGAAGTGAGGGACTAATGCTATTGGATATTAAACATACAAAACTAGAGTAATGAAAACACCTGTATGACTGGTCTAAGATTGGACAATGTTATAGTACACTCCCCGAGAATGATATATATAAAAGTTCAGTCTGTTAAAGAGGATGTATTACAATTGAATGGCAGGAAAGGATTGTACAGTAAATGATGTTGTGACAGCTTGTAGCATTTATACCCTCATCTCCTGTAATAAACTAAGTGGAGCTGGTTGAAGAGTTAAGTATAAAATAGCAAATTAAAAAAAGAACTAGAATCTAGAATGAATGAATGTTTACAAGCTTCTGAAGGGGAATAGTTTTCTAAGCTCAGGAAGTAATAGAAAAATAAAGAACGAGATCAACAAATTTGGCTATATAAAATTTTAAAACAAAAAATAAGTTTGGTGGCCATTTAAAAAATAAAATTTAAACACAGACTAAAAAGGCATATTTGATGTAAATATGAAGTGATAGGTGTGTATTTTTTAAAGTACTCATACAGTATTACATATAGGAAAAAATACAAAAAACATGAATAAACTACTTGAAAAAGAGTTTAAGTACAACTGGAGAATATGGGATAATGTTCATCATTACTAGCCAAAGAAATGGAAATTAAAATAAGTAGGTAGCCTCTTCTGTTATAATTTTATAACAATTGAAAAGGAGAGTACTCAGTTTGCTAGTAATACTGTAGTTTGCCTCAACCCCTTAAGAAAGAAGTCCAGTAACCAACATGTATTAATGTACTTATATCAAGTAATTCGACTCCTGAGAATGTTTCCTAAGAAACTAATCCAAAATAAGGAAAGAACTATCTGCATGATGGTGTTTATCAGTGTTATTTATAAATCAAAAATATTAGAAATAGCATGAATTCTAGCAATAAGGAAATGGTGAATCTACTCCATGGAATATGATTTTAAATGATGATTATGAAGAGTATAGGGCTATTTGGGAAAATACTTTTGTGTTCATTAAAAAGCAGGTCTTTGCACACTGCAATTACAACTTAGGAAACACATAAAAAAACCTAGTGGGAATGATAATAGTGGTTATGTTAGGGTGCCAGAAATATTGATGACTTTCAAAAATGTATTTCTCTGGTTTTCAGGAGTTCTGTAATGAGATTTTATTACTTTTGTGCTAAAATAGCAACAAAAACAGGCAAGAAAATAGTCATGGCAAATATAACAGAGTTAAAAATCTTTATTCTCATTAAGTTTTTTAAACACTAGTATTCAGAAAATGGGCAAAAGACATGAACAATTCACAAAAAAGGAAACAAATAATAAACATGAAAAAGTATTTAGCATTGCTAATAATGAGAGGAAGAGAAATGGAAACATTATATATACATGTGTATATTTTCCTCCTACCAAATTTGAGCCAACAGAAGAAAGATCTTTAATACATCTGTTACTCTTGGTAATCTAAGGAAATAAGTCAATCCAAAATATGGAAAAGCTGTGTATATACAAAGATGATAATTCCTATACCTAATCTGTAATAGCAAAAAGAAGTGGGGGAGGGGGACCTCCATATTCAATAGCAGAATGGTTAGGTAGTATACAGCAGCATATCCACTTGGTGGGCTATTCCAGAACCATTAAAAATGGTGGTTAGGATGATTACATAATAAGAAAAAAATGCATATCCTATAATGTTGCCTTTGCTTTTAAAGGACAGGTAGCTGCAACCTTGTAACAAATATATATATCATTTAGTAAATACACGCATATGGAAAAAATCATAGAAGGAAATACAACAGAATGATACCAGTGAAGGTGGAGCCAAGATATCGGCATGAGTAGGACAGTGGGAATCTCCTCCCAAAAACATATATATTTTTGAAAATACAACAAATACAACTATCCATAAAAGAGACACCAGAAGATACAGGACAACAGCCAGACTACATCCACACCTGCGAGAACCCAGCACCTCATGAAGGGGGTAAGATACAAGCCCTGGCCCGGCAGGACCCAAGCGCCCCTCACCCCAGGTTCCAGCAGGAGGAGAGGAGTCAGAGCGGGGAGGGAGAGGGAGCCCAGGACTGCTAAACAGCCAGCCCAAGCCATCCACACCTGGAGCACAGACACAGTGCAAGGAGTGCGGGAAACTAGTGAAACGGGACAGTAAAACATGCAAGCGGGTCCCTGCAGCCAGCATCCCTGGGACAAAGAAAAGCGAGTGCTTTTTGAAAGTCTTAAAGGGACAGGGACCCCACAGCTCGACGTAAGCATCCCCGGGACACTTAGCCCAGCACCTGGGAATCCCAGGGAACTCCAGGTGCCCTAACCCCCTGGGCAGCAGCGCAGCTCTGAGACCCCTCACGGCGATAAACAGCCCCCCCGACCATTCACCCTCTGGTGCAGCCCTGCCATAGCAGAGTAGCAGCCTGAGGCTGGCCACGCCCACAGCAAGGGAGCTTCCTACATAGTGGCTGGGCAAGAAACAGAGACCCACTCTACGTGCAACTGCCCAACACAAGCTGCTAGGGGTCACTGTTGTCCCAGGAAAGAAAGGCCAGGAGCAAGTGGAAAGGGTCTTGGTTCTCCCAGCTGACACACGAGCCAACAGCATACCACTGCATCTATTGACATGAAAAGGCAGAAAAATTTGATCCAGACCAGACTAACCCAGACATCCTCCACATCCTCCCCTGAGAAGGAATCTGGGGAGATAGATTTAACCAATCTTCATGAAAAAGAATTCAAAATAAATGTCA